CTCTCCTCGACGGCGCTCCATGGGAGATTCCCGTCAGGAGAGATCTCCTCTCACAGGTGGAGGGCACGCCCCCACCCGGCGCTGTGGATGCTGTGGGTGTAATCTCCCCTCTCCTTTGGGGGTCAAGGCTCACTCCTCCAGAAGTTGGCCTTCGGAACGACAGGTCCCGCCTATTTAGCCACTCCTGGCTCCCTTTTCTCTCGCCTTTGTTGTGCTCTTCCACACTAGGCAGGGATTTGCAAGTCTGGCGGCATGGGCATTCTACCGAGGTTGTTGAGACCATCCTCCATCCAGAGCTCCCTCTATGAGGAAACTGTACTTCTTGGTGCGGAGACCGCCAGCTCGACCTAGCTAACTGCCCGTTTGGTACAGTTCTGGAGTTCCTGCAGGCCTGTTTATCCGCAGGGTTGACCCACTCCACCCTAGAGGGCTTCGTGGCGGCCATTGGGGCCTACCACACCCCTCTCGGTGGCCATTCAGTGGGAAGACACCCTCTTCTCACACGTTTACTCCGCGGTGCGCTGAGGCCGAGGCCTCCGGCCAGAGAAGCTTATGCTTAGTGGTGGATCAGGATGCTATTCCATAGCCTTAGCGCCCATCCATTGGACTGATTACACATGTGATTCAGAGCGTGGTCATGCTGGAGGCGTTCCCGTAGCGTTTCGACGCAGCATCTCATTCCCTTCGGGGAACCATGGTTACATAAAATATAATTTATTTCTGTGATGAAAAGCTGAATTTCAGAAATAAATTATTTATACACACACACACACACACACACACAAATATATATATATATATATTTCCATTTAATCTCTTTAAATGTAACTTTAATATTAAAGTTACAATCAAATCAGCAGATGGTGAATAATGTAAACATTTGGTGATTACTTTCTGGTAATAATTAAACATTTAATAAATAATAATTTAAAAAGTCTAAATTATTTGGGTTTCCATAGTGTTTGATAACATTGTTAAATAATGATACTGTGCAAAGTGTTCATTCTTAGGGATTAATTTAGGAACTAACTTCTACCACTCTATATAACCCACTGTGTGCAATAGTCGGCTCAGGTTGGGACAGTGATCCAGTGGCTGGTGTATTATATCAAAGGAACATGCAGTCAGCACTGACTTGGCATCAGGCACGAACAAGCTGCCAGCAACAAGATGCTGATCTTCTCAGCATTTCAGAGCTGCATGAGCAGACTTATATGTCAGGTAGACTCAAGTACTTACCTTCACAAATAAAAAATATGTTGCTTGCTCTGATGTTTTCACAGTCACAGATTCCACAATCATTTTTGAAAAGAGTATGTATTTTTACCAATAATATGATTGATTGATAAATAAAGTAGCATTTCAGTACATCAGACACTTTATACTTCAGGCTTGACAAATGTCTTTGGCTCCACACTATGGATTGGGCTTAACAGTCTTGACTTTGAAAGTGGCTGGCAGTGGAGTAATGGAAACCCATTCAGATATCTAAACTGGGCTCCTGGTAAATAAAATCCATGTGCATACAACTGTACACAACTTTATACATGCACCCATATAAAGGAAGTCCAGGTTTAGTTGTGGAATTGATTGAATGCATGCTCTAACCTTCAGGTCACCCTTCCCTGGAACCAGGCCTGAACTGTGCAGTATTAAATGCTGGTAAAGCATCAAAGTGGGAGAGTATATCCTGCAGTAAGAAATTAGGTTACATCTGTCGCAAAGGCAATTCTACAGATAACACATCTCCACCAGGTAGGCTGCCCACATACTACAATGGTCCTAGTATGACATTTTTGTGTTATCTTTAAAAAAAAAAAAAAGGAAACAAATTAATGAATGTAGGAAGTCAGTTCCCCTCACATTTTTCATACAGGTGTCCTAGGAATAGTTCATTGATTACCACATAAACCATAGACATGTTCCATCTATGTTTGACAACCAGAAAGTGTTTTTGCACTTTTGCTTGAAATGTGTGCTTCTGTTTTCTTTACAACAAATGGCTTTTAATAAATGATAATATTATGTGTGGCTCAAGCAACCAAATATGTTTTGGAGACACTATGCATCACCACACACTATACTAAAGGTATACATTGATACATCATGTGCAGGTTTTTACAAGGATGTGTTTCTTTTTCTCTTGCAGGTAAAGATCAGCCTAACTTCTGTCCTGGTGCATGGGTTCCATATGCTGGTCATTGCTATTATCTGCAGCGGACCAAGATGATGTGGAGTGATGCGTTAGCAGCATGTCACAGGGAAGGAGCAGACTTGGCCAGTATACACAACATAGAGGAGCACAGTTTCATTATATCACAGAGTGGGTACTGTAAGTATGTGCAATCTCAGTGTCCATTATACACAAACACATGTTGGGTTTCCATGTTTCCATATTCTATCCATTAACCCTAACCCTACCTCTAAACATAATCCTCACAGGAAAAACAAAACAAACAAACAAACAAACCATTAGTACCACCAATCTGAGTGTTTGTTCTGCAGTGCCTACTGATGAACTCTGGATTGGACTTAATGATCAGAGGATTCAGAACCTGTTTGAGTGGTCAGACAGAACACATGTCACCTTCACCAAGTGGCTTGCTGGAGAACCTTCACACATCATAAATCGCATGGAGGATTGTGTTCTCATCAAAGGAAAGGTGGGTTCCTCCCGTGGGCTCAGGAGATGGTGGTGGTTGTGCTAGTTGCAACACAGAGACATGGAATGAAGGAGAAATCTAATAAGTAGCAGGAAGTTCTAAATGATATGTGACAGCAGTTATTTGACGTATGATATGAAAATGTTTTCGATGTTGGAATTTTAGGCATAGGTAGCTGAGTGGCTGAGCTCAATGCGCTGCAAATGGAAAAAAAAACATGCAAATAGAAAAAAAACAAATAAATTAATAATTAATAAATTAAATAAATAAAGAAAACGTCATCAATTTGACAACACACTTGCAACAAATACTCACAATGTGACAAAACACAGAAACGCACTGCAAATACTCACAACACGAACAAATACGGCAACGCACTGCAAAAAACAGAAACATGCTGCAAATACTAACAACACAAACAAATACAGAAACACGCTGCAAATACTCATATAACACAAACAAATATGGAAATGCGCTGCAAAAACAGAAACACACTACAAATACAACACAACCAAATACAGAAACGTGCGCCTCGAATTAATTGTCGTGTTCACATGATCACTAAACGTCATGAAATCTCTGTGCTTGTATGATACATTTATTTATTTTTTTTAATTATTTGTTTTATATTTTAGAACACTGAATAGGGCAAATAGTAGAAACACAAATATTTTTCAATACTCTGTTCTCTTTTTTTTTCCATACTTTTCCAGACCTGCAAATTACTTAAGTGAAACACTTTTTCAAAACTGTGCAGGAACAGGTGAGCCAAAGGAAAGCATGTTGTTTTACATAAACCTGAAATACAGAATTACTGTATTTCAAAATATCTGTCTTGGCGTGTATTCAAGCAAACATAGTCGGTTATGGCTTAATTGAACATTTGGGGAACAGTTGGGGAAAAGCATCTGATGTGTAATATAGATCCGTGCATTATGCTACCGTCTGTGTCATTAATATTAATCAAACAATAGAAAATGAAGGGAATCACTGTCACGGTCTCTCGGGTAGGAAGGAACGAAGGAGACGCTGGAGAATACGTAAACTACAATTTAATACAAAATAAACAAAATGAATACAAAACACGGGAACTTCAGGGATGACATTTAGCAGACAGAATGACGTTCAACAGCAGACAGAAAACACTGGGAAACACAGGGTTTAAATGCTCAGAAACTAATGGGACACACCTGGGAACAATAGGAACTAAACGGGGAACACCTGGACTCAAGTAACAACAAATGAGGACAGGACACAGGAAGAACCAAATGAGGGCAAACAGGAACATACACGTGACAGATCGCCCCCCTCCTGGATGGCGCGTCCAGCGCCGTAACAGTAGCATCGAGGAGGAGGTGCGGGCGCCCTGGAGGCTGGTGCAGGACTGGAACAGGGAGGAGACAAGGGAAGCCTCCAGGGCGGGTCAGGAGGCCATGGCGGAGCAGGCAGTTCAGGTTGCCATGGTGGATCAGGGAGCTCAGGAGGCCATGGCGGATCAGGGGACTCAGGAGGTCATGGCGGATCCTCCGTGGCCTTAGCTGGCTCGGCCACGGGTATATGGCCCCCCCAAAAAATTTTCTTGGGGAAAACTAGGAATTCTGGAGGGCGCTCTGGCGGAGATTCAGAGACTGGAGCCCTCCGCGGGCTAAGCACGGGGACAGGAGCCCTCCGCGGGCTACACTCGGGAACAGGCACAGCAAGGCACTTTCGAGGAGCGGGTACTGGAGCAAACTTAGGGGCTGGAGCCGACACTGGAGCGAGTTCTGGGGCAGGAGCCGACACTGGAACGAGCTCTGGGGCTGGAGCCAACACTGGAGCGAGCTCTGGGCGGGAGTGAACCACGACCGACGGGCTTGACTGTGGAGTGGACAGCGGGCTTGGCACAGAAACGGCCGGCGGGCTTGCCACAGGAGCTTCGGAACTAGACTTCGGAACGGCTGGCGGGCTGGAGAAAGCCGCGGCCGGTGGGCTTGACTGAGGAACGGCCGGCGGAGGAGTCCCGAATCGGGATCGGAGGCTCTCCAGACACCGGATGACTGCCTCCTTCCAGTCGAGGTTGGTGGTGTAAGTAATGGGCGATAGCACGTAATCCCAATCCGGAACAGCGTCACGAGGGTTTCCCCCTCGAGGGAGCTGGCAAGGGCGAGCGGCACGAACGCCCTAGCGTAGCTGACAGGGTGGGGGCTTGCCTGAGCCACGGCGATGAACATCGCTCGTTCCTCCATAATCTCGGGGGGAAAACAAAAACACTTTGAAAAACCGGAAAATAAACACGGGGAGAAGAAGCGGCGCTCAATTTCATTTTGGGTCTGCTGTTCTGTCACGGTCTCTCGGGGAGGAAGGAACGAAGGAGACGCTGGAGAATACGTAAACTAGAATTTAATACAAAATAAACAAAGGAATTCAAAACATGGGAACTTAAGGGATGACATTTAGCAGACAGAATGACGTTCAACAGCAGACAGAAAACACTGGGAAACACAAGTTTAAATGCTCGGAAACTAATGGGACACACCTGGGAACAATACGAACTAAACAAGGAACACCTGACTCAAATAACAACAAATGAGGACAGGACACAGGAAGAACCAAATGAGGGCAAACAGGAACATACACGTAACAATCACTCACTACTCTTGAGTGAATAATTTTAGTAGCTCTAACAATAATCAGTTTATTTGTATTAAATACATACAATAAAGACTATACAGTGATTATTTTCACATTTGATTATTTGATTATTCGTTTTTCTTTAGTTTTTTGTGTATTGCTGGATTTATTCCAAATGTTGCACAATAGCCCAAAGATACGAATTAGATAATTTACTTAAATTTTATATTTGAATTTATATATTAATGACATTTCCTACTTTTATTTCATTGTATTAATAACCTTATACAAATCATTTCAGTGAATTGATGTGTTGTTACACTCAAGCTCTTTTGGTTCCCCCCCATTCGTTTCAATGTTTTTGTGCTTTTTGTATATGCACATCCATAATACGGGGAAGTCGTGGCCTAATGGTTAGAGAGTCGGACTCGTAACCCAAAGGTTGCGAGTTTGAGTCTCAGGTCTGGCAGGAATTGTAGGTGGGGGGAGTGAATGTACACTCCCTGGGCGCCGCAGCAGAAATGGCTGCCCACTGCTCCGGGTGTGTGTTCACTGCTGTGGATGGATGGGTTAAATGCAGAGCACTAATTCCTAGTATGGGTAAACATACTTGGCCACATGTCACGTCACGTCACTTTTTAAATATACCTATTTTACAAAACTTTAAGAATTTTCCCATAAATGTGTTATAACTCTGAAAATGGGAGAATCTTAGCTTTAATGTGGTATATGGCACATAGTCAGGATAATTATGGTTCAAATGTGTTGTAGTTTTAAATATAAGCTTTTTTTTACATTTGAATTTCTCAAAAACACGATTTTCTGAGTCCGAAATTATGCAAATCTTTGACATGGCCTCACTCAGTCAATATTAAAGATATCTTTGTACTATTTTCACAGAATGTTCTTTACGTTATGTTGGATGATTTCATGTAGAAAACACTAGTCCTAGGGTTTTTGCAAAAATTCTCTGGAAAAAAAAAATCCTTCAAAACAGTCTCTTCAGTATAAAGGATAGATGAAATAATGTTAAGTTAAATTAAAAAGTTTGGGTGAGTAGGGGCAAAACTCATAAGATCTAGGACTTTCAGTGCCCTGTAGTAAGCAGTATCAAGTCTTTTGTAGCAGAAATAAACTGCGTCAGAAAAAGCTAGGTCCATGCAAAATATAAAGTGTAACTGCAACACTCATTTCAAATGTAGTGGAGTAAAGAGTACAGATACTCATTCAAAAATGTAGTTAAGAAGCGTCCTACATGAATTAATACACCTCTTAATACCATCATAATGATGCCACGACTATAGAAACCATACACTCGAAAAATATCTAGGCCTAATTCTTAAGATTTATGTATTTCAATTGCATATAAAATTTAAATCCATTTTGATTACATATTAACTTAAACAAACTATAATAAACTTTATGTGATTCAAATTTGGCAACCTTAAGTAAATTAAACAAGTAATAAGATTTATGTAATAGTACCAATAAATCCAATTTGTTTTAAATGCATAAGAAACATGTATATGTATTATTAGGTAATAAACCCAATGTACTTAAAATGCATTACACTTACATAATTTGTATCAATAAACCCAACGTATTTCATATATTTAATCCTACCCCACCCAATCACACCGTGCTACAACAAAATCTAACTACAACACACACAAAAAAGAACAGCAAAACCACCCTGTTACATTACATCAATTTATTAATGCTTCAAAGCATTTGGCTTTATATGAGCTAGCAAGACATACTACACAGTGTTCATACACTTGTGTGCAACAACAAAAAACAAAAAGTGCCTTCAATTAACCATACTGCAGGAAAAAAAAATAAAAATTGTACTCTGTTAAAAACATTTTTAACAGAGTGCAGAAATAAGATCCATCTCCTCAAGAACTGTGCAAATTTGAGGTAGACAGATACATGAGGTAAATCGATGATAACAGTACTGCTTACGTTTCACTAACATTAAAAAAATAATCTGTGACATGCAATAATTTAGAACAGGGCAATGGTCAGAAAAAATGCCATAAGGCTCAGGGGTTGAGTGGCTCTGCACCACCACACTTTCCATGCATATTTAATTACATGTTAGGAGTACATGAGTATGAAAGGAACATTCTACATCTACATTTACATCTCAAAAATGACATCTCAATTGTCATTACTTAAGAGTTCTTTGATGACAGCTTGGATCCAGGATTTTCTTCAAACGTGCACTTGAGCTTCGTTGCGTAGCTTCAGTTAAGCACATAAATCAGTCCAAAAAGCATCAAACACCCAAGAGTGACACTGCAGAACTTCCACACCAACATCTGGTTGGTCTCAAGGACCAACACGAGCACCCTCTGAACGAAAGATGTACATGCCCACTGTTGTCT